TTAGATGCATCATATTTATCGCCATCATGCATGTTATTAGTGATAACAGTTAGTTGCTGTTTATTTGTTCGAATACAGCATATCGGGCCAGCTTTCGATGCAGTTGATGTGTGAAGAGGCTACTTAGTAGGCTACGCCCCACTTTCGGGTCCCGGGGAGTACAGCACCCCGGGAGATAGTCTGTCTGCGTTGTTTTTCGTTTATTCAGTCAAGCGGGTCAAAGTTACAAAGCATCACATCTTATTAATCGGACCTAGTTTTGACCTTACCAGTGCGTGTAACGTAATCGTGTAGAAAGCACCCGTATTTAGTTAGCCTTCATATAAGGTACATTTACATTTTATAATATTCATGTTTCCTTTCTACTGTATACTGCATATTTATGCTGTATTGTATTTAAGTTATCATGTTTATACTTGTTTTCCACACATTTCACAATTTGGGGAATGAAGAAGTATCGTATCATTATCCATCTATCTTATCTGTCTATCTATCGAGCTTCTCTATATGCTCGATAGATCGGGTAAATGGTGACCTGCCCCACCGGAAGGGGATGTGGGGGGCCACGATAATTAAAGGGGTTAGGATACTTAGCACTATTGGTTCCCCAAGGCGGAGCCCCTTAGGACAGTGACGCAGATAAGAGTACAGGATGGACAGGGACGTGGCCGTCAAGGTCAAAGTTTATTTACAGGTAGAGAGGATGCAGGGTGAGAGGGTGCGAGATTTATTAGGATGGCGGATTAGAAAGCGTGCGGCAGCGGCCGCGGCAGCGACGACGCGGCGAGGGAGGGGCTTGAGCAACAGGGATATAAATAGGGGGGATAATGTAGGTCAGAATATCGGGACGGAGGCGATGGGTGGACGGAGAGGAGGAAAATAAGTGTTGCAACTGGCCAGACTGCGAGGGTTCCCGCCAGGAATCACAAGATCGAGCCCAGTGGGGAGGCGGGGGTTCAGGTGTAGGAGATCACTGCATATCACCCATATACTATTCCGGCATCGAGGCGCAGCAAGAGGCTCCACTCCGACGTATGCCAGGTGTCAGACGAGAGAGGATAAGAAGCACAGAGGCAGT